ATTCCTCCTCTTAAGTTTTTTTGGCTTGGACAAATGACTCTCTCTGGGCCTCTGATGAGACATATGTGCTGGGTTCTTGCACTTTTGTGTGTAAGATTTTGCCAATAGAAGAGTAAATCTGGGAGGGGACCCTCCATCTGTATCTCCTAAAACTACGTCACACAGTGGGACCTTTTCTGTGCGTCCTCAGCTGGAAAGGATGGACTTGACTAAAATTTGGATTTCCTCTAACACAAAGGTCTGTCTTAAGATATTTTGTAACACTGTTCATAGTATGGACAAACAAAACAATCCCACATAATTAGAAAGGCTCCAATGAGGCCATACGTCCTAGGGATAATCAGTGGGTTTATTGTTTGGAACAGAGGAGAAAACTAAAACGGGGCCTCTACCAAGGACTTCAGCTTACGAATATGTAGAACTATCGCAACTTTTCCTTACTCAATTCGGCCAGCTCTTGGTTTTGGGCATTAAAGCTAATTTAGGTTTTCCTCATCCTTCCATACTCAGCTCAGGCCTACAAGAGAACAACCCTGATGGCCTGGGTTGGTCTTAGTCACCTGCCTGTATTTATACAAGTATCCTGCATGTCCCTCTGTCTACCACTTGCTACATGATATTAAAATGTGTTCATGTATCAGACTGCCATGCAGACTCTCAGCTCCTCTAAAGACAATCAGTCATTCTCTTTCTCTCTCTCTCCTCCTCCCTTCTTTCCTCCCTCCTTAGTATCCTAGAACACAGTGCACAGCAATAATTTGGAAACCTTACATCATGTTCACCATATGCCAGACACCGTCCTCCGCATCTTTCACATACTCTTCTATTCTTATACTACATCCAGGGGATAGAGACTATTATTATTCCAAATTTTAAAATGAAGAAACTAAGGCATGGGCTGGTTAAGTACCTTGCCCAAGATCACACAGTTATGAAGTGGGGGAATTTAGAGAAGAGCTGGGACGTCTAACCCCAGACCCCACATTCAATCACTGACCCTATCTTGCCTCCTAGATTCTTGGTAAATGTTTATTCAACTGAATTGAACATTACTCAGCACAGATAAATACATACAAACATCTGGTCTTGAAGGTAAAAGAATATGCTTAAAGTCTCAGGGTCTTAAAAGTTTTCTCAGGACATAGATAAATTATAATCGGTAAAGTTTTTTTTATAAAAAACTATCTATAGTTTTGATTTGCACATTATACAAAATTCCACTCGATCACCAAAGACCTCTCAGGGCACAAGTCTGTTTAAGCACATATGTGGAATGGTGGTGTTTTTATAATCAACTGTTGACTTACTACATACTTCCATTTCAAAGAACAGAAGCTTCTGGATGTAAGGTCAATGAGCTTTCTGTTTTTCTTTTTTTAAATGGCTGGCATGAGTTGTAGAGGGTTTGAACACTAACTTTTTATCCTTGAAATAAACTGCTGCCTGCCAAAACCCATTCCCAAAGTTGCTCTGATTAAGCAGTAAAAATCATTAGAAGATACAACCACTGCTAATACCTTTATTCAAGGAAAGAGTTTAACACAGGGCAGAACCATTTTAAAGTTTCTCATTAAAGCATTGACTATTGGAAGCAAAAGCAAAAGCAAAAAAAAAAAAAAAACCCAACAAAGTCTAGGAGGAAGTTATATTACTGAACTTCAATGCTCCTGTATTTATAGAATGACCTCAGCCCTGGATCTTAAGAGGGAACAAGTCCATTGTGCTGTATGAGAACTGCATTGAAGGTGGAGGGATATGACATGGGCTGCAAAGAATCAGAAGCCAAAAAGTTTAAAAAAAAATCCACACAAAAACCTTACATAGCAGCAGCTCCCTAGAGTGCCTATTGAAATAATGATGATGACAACGATAATGATGACAATGACATAGTAATAATAAATCAACTGATGAGATATGCATGCCAGGCTATATTTTGCTATTAAAAAAGTTAAATTGCCAAGTTGCAGAATCAGATATATACTATTTTAAAATAGTAGAAAAATGACGTGAGCATTTGTCTTATTTGTTCATTTGTTCATTTCTTTATTTAAATGATTCATTCACTCATTTTCGGCAGCCCAGCGCCCATGCCCCTCTTATAGTACTTGGATTTCCTGTGGGGAATCCCCCTCTTGCCTTCCTTCGTGACGTCTCAGTGGAACCCCAAGGTGCTCTGCCTGCCCTAACTTGACCATGGAAGTCAGGGGGGCTTCTTCAGTCAGATCAGTCATCTCAGTGCCCAGGTGGGAACACGGGGCAGGCACATGACCTAAGCTCAAGCTCAGCCAAAGGATTTTATTTTGATGTAAAAATAGAAGAAAAAAAAAAGGCGTAAGTTTATCTATTTTTTCCTGTGAGAATGCTCACGACAGACTATCCACACTCGTGTTTCCTATCTGCTACATGCCAGGTTCTTCACCTGCCCTTTAATTATGTGCACTTTCTTATATTCTTACAATATTTTCCCTTTTTTATTTCAAGGGATTCCAATTCTGTTTTAGTTGTTTGGTTCCAAAGAATAAATGCTGGGTACCAGCTGAGCAGGGAAGCAGGTAAAAATAGTGTTGATTGAATTGGCCAAGTGTGTCATAAGTGAGCACAAAAGCTGGAAGAGGGCACAGACAGGAGAATGGGAAAATACTATGGGATGCCAGGTGTGGTAGTGCCAGAGGAGCCCAGGTGAAGGTCACCAGGGCTATGGCATTAGTGAGACAGTCTAAGCCCCAGAAACACAGTGTGTTGAGCAGCAGTCCCAAAGAATGTTTATATTATACTTTATGACAAGTTTAGGTCTATAAGTTGACATTGTGATATTCGGAAACAACTTCTACACCACATGAAAAGCTACCAGGAGATGACAAAGTCTTTCATTTCATTTCCTCGTTCACAATTAATGTTTAAAATAAAGCTACTAGATCACAGATCACAACTTAATATCCTGGAATATTCCGAAGAGAATGTATTGCATTTCTCTCCCTTCTTGCTGTGTGCTCACCGTTCCCATTCACTTGTCTGAACAAGGAAATTAAGCTATCGTTTCCTTGTGTTTATAGCTGATTTGACAGCCCAGCTCATCATTAAGGCTGTTTCCATCTTTATTCAGACTCCAAAACCTTCCTGCGAGCCTTATTTTCATGAATTCACTGAGCACGAGCTCCCGGAAGACTTTATAGAATACCATTATCAAAATCAAAGTTAAAACTGAAAATAAAATTATATCTTCCATCGAAAGCTTCACTAAATTTTTTTTCTGGGTTAATAAATATTACCAGACCCATACCACCTCATTCATTTGTAAACAAATATGTAAGCCAAAGAAATAAGTGGCCAGAGATTCACTTCCATGCATCGAATCATACCTGAATAGGGACTCTCTTGACAGCCAAATTTCATTCTGTTTTACGGTTTTCCAAGAGAAAAGCAACAGCAGCAGCACAGTGGACGCAGTCAGGGTGGTGGCCCCGCATCGATGCAGACAAGCGCAGAGCTTGCTCAGTCCATGCACAAAGAGGATGCAGTAGCCCATGCTGGAAAACAGGGTGGGAGAAGCAGGGTTACTGTGGGGGTGCAGCGGAGACCCCTGAGCATTCTATCCCATGGAACTATCGAATAAAGCTTGCCCCGTGACAGAGCAACAAATACAAACGCGGCTGTCTCACACAACATCCACACATTAGTTCTTTAGCAGTGAAACCAGCGCATTGGCTGGTCCTTTGGCATCCATGTGGAGAATAACAGGTTCATCCTATAGGCTCAGACTGCCTTGGATTTCAGCAGCTCAGGCACCATGAGAAGTCCTTCCCGTACACTCCTGGGACCTGAATGGGCCCTCTGACCCTTGCTTCCTCAGTGCTGGCACTGTATCATACTACTAGCACCCTGTGACCAAATTTGGACTCTGCTACAGCAGGTCCCATCACATCTTTGTGGGAGACAGTCCCCCAAGAGCCCTTTATCAGGTTCTGGGAGGAATGCTGGTCACCAAGGGCCATTGGTCTCTGTCTTCAGGAATGTGCCATCTCGTATGCCCCTACTCTGGCTAGTCAAAGTCCTTACCCCAAAGGAAGGTCTACCCACAGGCCAAATCCTGGGCCATGCAGCTTGGAGCTTATCACAGACAAGCTGTACTGATACAATTCTCTTGCTGATGCTGGCTCAGCTTTCCAAACCGACACCAAAAATCCCTCCTGTAATCAGAGTGGACCTGTGGAACGCTGATATCACGTCTCTAAAAGCCTTTGGCTTGGTGGACGGAATGTGGTCCCTCACATTATCTACACACCCGCAGGGATGCTTCTTGCGTGCCAACTGGCCTCAGAAAAACACAAACATTTAGTTGTATCCATCGTTGCAGTGAGCATGTTAGTCAAGACCTGTTTCATTCCAAAGACGGCAACTACAAATTATTACAGAGTATTTTAAGAATAAAGCAAGCTTGTGCAAATAAATCCTATAGTAGTCAGACGCTATTGTTATAGGAAGCCCCAAATTAATATAGCCCACTTACTTGTTCAATTATTTATTCGTTCTCTCTCTATTATGTACTGGCAATAAGCCGGGCACTAAAACTACCATTATGAATAAAACAGAAGTCCTCCCTCCAAGAACTCCAGTCTAGTGAAGCAGGTTGATTTTGTAAAAAAAACACCAGAATATTCTCATGTCTCAACACGCCTCTTTTAAAAGAAACAACTCTACACTTTCCTTCTGTTCTCATTTCTAAATGTCAGTGCTTTGGTATCAAGGGTAGAAAAATGAGAGAGGAGCCTTTAAGGTTTTTGACTTAGAGACCCTGGGAATCAAGTTAAAGCTCTAACTGCCTACTTCAAGTTCTATTAGTTGGTTGGTCTTAAAACTCTCAAAGTTGTAGGCTCACTGTTTGGCCAAAGGAAAGCACCACCCTACTCACCACCAAGGGATGGTGGTTTGAGCCCTGGAGGCCCATGCCCCATCCCAGTCACTGAATCTGATTGCCACAAGCACCTTGCAGAGCCTTGCACATACCAGAACACAGAGTCACTAGTGAAAACAAAACAAAACAAAACAAAACAAAAAGACCACAGCTCCCCATGTTTGGCCTTACAAGTATTAAAGCTTTCTAAAAATCTCCCATGTTGGACCATCGACCATGCTGATGTCATTACTGGCCACCATGGCAGCTCAAGTCTGTGGAGAAAAATCAAGCAGGGAAGAGAAAGAGGGAGTGCAGGATGGGGAGGAAGTTGAGGTTTAATAGGGGTGGTCAGAGAAAGCCTCACTAAAAAGGTGACCTATGAGCAAAGCTCTGAAATGCATAGGTGGGGGTGTGCCATGCAGACCCCAACATCTCCAATGGCAGGTGTCTTCTCACTCCTGCCTTCATAAAGCAGCACCATGGAGTGCCAACATCTACCGAGCACACCTTATGTGCCAAGCACGTTCTCTATGAGCTCAGTTCACTCTCACATCCCTGTGGGTCATTGCTGTTAGTGTTTAACCTGTGAAGACACGACAGAAGGGAAAGGTGAACTGATCTGCTGAATTAGGTCATTCAGCTCGTACATAGCAAAGAGATAAAGCCAGGAGTCTCAGATTCCAGAGCCCACATGCCATATGCTATCGTGTTGTTGGGTTTCGATTTGACTGGCTGATCCCTGTGCTCCTCACACCTTATCACACAGCTTCCCCGACTTCCTTCCCAACCACTCCATTCATGAAAGTTCAGTTTTGTTTTCTGCCTCCTTGTAGGAAACAGAGCTGCCATCTGGCCGAGCAGTGGGGAAGGGAAACACTAAGATTCCACAAGTTCCAGAGCAATGGCTGCAAAGTGGCAGAAGACATGGAGGAGTAACAAAGACAGCAAAAATAATCAGTTCATTGGCATGTTTACTGAGTGATTCCTATGTGCCAAGCACTGTGCTAAGTGCTTTCTATGGGACAGCCCACAATATTTGTAGGGCCTGGGACAAGGACAGTACTGGCTTGAAATATATGATCTAATTTAAAAACAATCCTCAGTACCTTCCATTCATAAATAAGGAAACTAAAGCTTGGAGGATTTAAATAACTTTCCAGTAATAGAGTCAGATCAGAAGACCGATGGTCCTAACACTGTTGTAATCAGAGCTGGCATAATTTTTCTACAAGGGGCCAGGGAATAAACACATCAGGCATTTCGGGCCATGAGGCCTCCTACTCGACTCTATTTTTGTAGCAGGAAAACGGCCATTGACACTATGAAAAGAAGGGCACGGCTGTGTTCCAATAAAATATTTATAAAAACAGGTGGTGGGCCCAATTCCACTCATGGGCCACAGCTATAATCCAAATGAAGGGGAACACCATTCATTTTCACTCAGTACAAGTCTCAAGTAACACGATAGTTTTTTTTCCAAAAGTCCTTGTATTGACATATGGTTTAAAGGAAGATTAAGCTATATGAAATAATCTCCACTTAGGTTTGCAAATTTCTTAGAGAGGATCACATTCTTAAAAACTTGAACACAATATCACAGAGGTTAAGTTGCTTCTCTATTACAGCATTTCATCTTTAAACATCTCAGCAGCACGAGCCAGAATCGTTCTCTCTCCATTGCTAAGGGCAGGCTAAGTCCTCATTTTGAAAGTGGAAAATCAAGCAAATGAGAAACGGCATGCTTTTCCGGCCTCCAGGGAGACACAACCAGACTGCAGTTAGCGCTGGTTTATCTAGTTAAGGAAAATCTGGGCTCTGACCAGACAGCTCTACACAGAGCACAAAGGGGTCAGTGCAAACCACTGGCAGTTGACAACATCATACCCTGGCAGACGGAGAGCCCGACTCCGGCTGCTGGCTGTCTGGCTCAGCTCAGTACCGAGATGCCTTTTCAAAGCACACTTGAGAAGCACCACTGCTGTCTCAGAGAATGGAGTGAATCGCTCATGCACAGAGATGCTCTCTTCTTCACAGGCAGATGCCATCTCCAATTTTGAATGTGATTTATTGACAAGTTGCAGTGTGTACAATAACTAAAGACACTTGCATCTCTCCTCTCTACTTTTATGATGCATAAAGGGAAATGAACAGGAAATGCAAACAAATAATGTTTGTCCCTTCACATTAGAATACAAAACATTTGCAACCTGCTGCTTGAGAACTTGGTGAGCAGTTAATCATTGTGTAAATAGTACAAATGTACTTTCTTGAACCTTGTCCAGAAGCTCTTAAGTGATTAACAGAACAACGCTTTCCCTTCCCATTTACATCAACCTGAAAGGACGGCAATTTCCTAGGCAATTTCCTACCTCTCGGCCAAGTATTTTACGGTGTTTGCTATGGCTTTGCTTTTGCTTTAATTCTATTCAGCAAAGGGAATCTTTTTGCTATTAAGGGGAACTAAAATTCACTTAAGCTCAAACAACCCATTTAAGAGTTTATCTATAACATCAATGATATAAGATAGACACAATCTTCCAATGTTATTACTTTAAAGAATTCCTATCTTTAGATTGTTTAAATGAAACATATCCCTAGCTAACTTCATTCGGATCTGGTGAATCCTCACATGGCAAATTATCTGATGGTAAGATCTTATTCCAGTCTCATGGATGCTGACCCAAAATGATTAAATAGCAAAGCCCCGTCGCTGAGCCCAGGACAGGTGCTTGGTGC